CGTCCCCGCTATGTGAACTTCCACCGAAATTACCTGGGTTTGGAGATTACTCTGCAATAGGACAAGAGTAAAATGTTCTTAACGACCTTTTTCCTGCCTATTGATAGCTTTATGGCCAAAGTTTCATGGTTTACCTATTCTGCACTGTTTGCTGGCACGTTGGTAGACCTTAACCCTTGTCTTGGTTAGTATTACGGCCTATGGAATCTTGTGGAGTTGGCATAAGGCAGATTGCACCATTTGATCATGGGCAAGTTTTGCTCAGTTGTTTCTACGTTTTCAGTGTCAGGTGAACTCTAATTGATTATAATGTTCTTAATCTAATTTCGTGGGAAATTAACTTGTGAGTATTTAATATTATTTTGTTATTATTGAATTGAAAATTGTATGGTTGGTCTTTTGGAAAGTATCTGGTTCTTGGTAGAATGTGGTAAATAGTTTTTGAAAATGCAGCTTCTCGTGGTCCCCCCATGTCAATTTTGTAGCAGTATACCGTTGACAAATGGGCCAATGGAATCATTACGTCTGACGATTTCGAAAACCTCATTTTCTTGTTCGTGAGATTATTATAAAAAGTATGTTACATAAAATTACCATTTTGGATAAATGAACAAAGGGAGAAAATTGATTCTGAGTCCAAGTGCATATGTTTTTGAAGATCAACATAGCCAAGTTCAATTTTGAAGCAATTATTTGGATAATAAGTGTAGGTTGGACAAATGTTTCTACGTTAGGGTGCATATTAGGTGAAAGCGTAAATTCCCCTGACCCTTTGGCTCATGAGCCGAGCCTTTTACAAGTCGATTCATTTTTCATTTGTTAACTTAACAAAATAACTCAAAAATTAAAGAAACTAAAAAAATAATTCAAAAAATGAGAATAAACAATTTGGTCCAATCAGCTGTCTATTGTCTCAAAATGAGTTGGAGATGGGATGAGCCGAGCCGGGAGCCAGCAAGCTACTAGGTTCGTGTCATCCTTACATGCATATTTTTGTGACAACTTGTCTCGTAACGTTATATAGTACGTGTCTTAAGAAAATTGTTGCTTGAAAGATATTAAGCCCTTGTTTGGTATAAATTAAAATTTAGATTTTAGTTTAAATAAAAGGTAACAACTAATTTACAATTAATTTTAATCACATTTTATGAGATTTACAACTTCTTAATCATTAATTTCATCATCTTGCATCAAAATTTAATTTTAATACCCTCTCTAAATATCAATTGAGAATCCAAGCAATGGACAGGTATGTTGATATTTTTACTAGCATCTTGTTGCCCTATTACTCCTTTGTGGTCCTTCTCCGTCGGTGTCATTCCTCTTCAACTCCACGAGGCAACAGATATATTTATTTAATAGGAGTGAGACTAAAATAAGAATCTTCTCCTCCGAATGGTGTATTGAACACTGTTTCTCTCGTCCGAAAGAAACAATTTATTAATCAAAGAAACCTTCAACAAATCAAAATAGAAAATTTTAAAATAATCTAATAGCCTTGGTGGGACATACGGACCATCCTCCATTTGTAAGCTTATAGAGGATAAGCTCTCGTTAATTTCCTCCAATTAGCTGATTCATAATCAGCATTCCAAGTACAACAAGACATGAAGGGGGTGGCCTAATGTGACATTACACTCCATGAGTCAGCTTCTTTGAATCCAATAATTCAACAGCATCAAGATCAATATCCCTTTTTAACCGCTATCAATCATTATTCTCCAATGAAATCGGTAAACGAAATGGATCTTGAAGAGTGGGAACTTCTCCCTGACGATGGATTTCTCGAAATCCACGATGATGGGGGGAAGAAAATCTACTCTAGGAAGTATGGTAGTGGTCCAGCGGGTGTTCTTGAGACGAATTACTTCGTCTGTCCACCTAAATCTAGTCCACAATTCGTCGAAAGAGCAAACAATCAACTTGTCCCAGTTCCAGTTCTCCTGGAACCGACAATTCTCAAGCCCTGCGATCAGGAGATACCTAAACAAATCCCGGTTGAGATTAAAATCTTGCCATCAGCGTTACCGGAGAAGATCAGACCTTTTAATACCGGATCAGCTTCTGAAGCTGATCAAGACCCGGTTTCCCAAGTTTTCTTCAAGAAAATGAAGGAACCTGAATTTGTCGACATGAAAGTGGAGTCACCTACATCTAGTAGAAGTGGAATCATGCCTCAGATTGATGGTGCAGGCTTTTATCAGTTTGAAGAAAATGAAGAGGCCTATAAAGTGGAAGCATTGGACAGCGAAAGTTGTGCATCAAAAGTAAAAGGTGATTCAGAGATGGAAATGGATGAAAATAATTGGGGATTTAATATATGGAAATGGAGTTTAACTGGAATCGGTGCTATTTGCTCCTTTGGAGTTGCGGCCGCCACTGTTTCCATCATCGTCTTGGGGAGTAGCCAAAAGAGTAAACAGCAGAATCAAAAGCTTCAGTTACAATTCTATGCAAATGACAAGGTATGCACCTCAATTCAGTTTTATAACTTGAGTCAAGATTTCAAGTATGTTAGATCTTTATATTGCAGTCGAAAAAGTCAAAACATCGTCGATCTCTTTACTTGATCAGAATCGAATTAATAACTCGACCTTGTGTGGTTAACAGAGGATCAAGCATGTGGTTCACCATGAAAGTAAGCTAAATGAAGCAATATTTAGAGGAGTTCCCCTCACCAGAGCACATGTTACCTTTGGTGGATACTATGAGGGTCTTTGAATCATGGCTTACTGTTTTTATCAGCATTAGTTATCTCCTCATAAATAATGCTCTGTTTGTTCACAGATCTTTTAGCATAATATGTTAGTATTTCTTCATAGTATTGTGTATGGAAACATATTGAGATTTATGTATTCATCATACATTCCTTATGGTTATCGGGATCGGTGACTATTTGTGCGCACAGTGCTCAACGGGACGAGCAAATATGGGCACTAAACCTTATTGTGCATGTTATGCCATTTTGAGTGTGATGTGCGTGGC